ATCACAAAATGATTCGTTCATTTGATGAACGTGGGCAGAAGCACAGAAATTCATTGCCTTGTATAATTAATTACCGGGTTCCTCTTGTTTTGGAATTCAAGCATATTATCAATTTATTCATGGTTGCAGTAGTACTTTTGTTGTAACTTCAAGTTTCATTGATTTAGGTATCATCAAGTTTCTTTTCTTTGACAAAATCGTCTAATTGATTTTTATGAGATGCAAAAAGTTTGGTACATTGGAAAATGGTTGGTGAAAAATATTATTAGTCGCTCAATTATTTGGCCGGCCATTTAGGGGCTAAATTACCAAACAGAACAATGTGTCAAGGACAGCTCTTTAAACAAAAAAATAAAAAATAAAAAAATTATGGGTTCCATACTTTTATTTTTTGGATTATTTCCACAAGTGGCCCTGAATTATAGCCTCACTACCAACGTGCCTCGACGTCAACTTTTTCAGAAATTTGTCGCTCCTCAAAATCAAAGCCATGTTCGATGAATCGTATTATATAATATTGTACAATTTCTATGCAATATGGTGATTGGTTTATCTCAAATTAAAATTTTGTATCAAATTATACTACGCAATAATGATGTTTGACGACAACCAACTATTGGGCATTGTTTTCATGGATTGTAAAAGCCATGAAGCCTCATAACTCTGGGTTTCTGATCATTTGTAGACTGAATCTAGTAGAGTTGTACGAAAAGAGAGAAGAAAATTAATTTACTTTTGAATTTTTCTTTTTTACTCAACATTATCCAGTACCGTACCTAAACCGCTGCTTCTTCAATTTCATTTCATTCAGCAACATGCCAGGTTCTCTACTCTCTCCACCTTTTCTTCTTCTGTCTTTTTTTCTTTTTCCCCTGTTTTTAAGATGAAATTCGATGTGGGTTTTATTTCTTCTTTTTTTTTTTTTTACAATGTTGCTGTAAAATGCTTATCTTGACTTTGTTAATTGAATACAAAAGTTAGATTTCAAGCTTTAAATAGAAAAATTCAAGTCCCAATAATTATTAGTCACCAGAAGATATTCCCATACAAATACCATTCCTTTCTACGTAGTCATTATTAATCTATCAAAATGATTTTTTTTTCGTCGCTTAGATATGATTTTTTTTTTTTTTTGGTTAAAGAACAAAAAACAACAGAGCAGAACTCGTTTTCTTGCTTATCAAACTAGTTTACAAATAACACCTGCAAAAGTTTTGGCTCTTGCATTAATCTATCACATATTGAAACCTTATAATTGTAGGCGAACCGTAATGTTTGTGTATTTTCAGAATACTTTCGGTGTTTCCGTGCTCGAATCTGAATCATACCGCTAGACTGCGGCTTTATTCATTTCACTAATTCGAGTTTTCAGTTATAGATTTTTACAGTAAAAACACTCAGAAAATGTCATATTTTTTCTACTACAGTTAAAAATTAAGGGCTCGTTTAGTTCGTTGATTCGAATTTTTAATTCAAGTTATGACGTGACTTTATGTGAGAGCTTTTTACTGTAACAAAAAAGTTAGATGTAACGGTTTCTCAAAGCTTTTTACTGTAATAAAACTCAAATTATAAACTCGAATCGGTGAAATGAACATGACCTAAATATCATATTTCAGCTCGAATTAAAAATTTGAATCTGCGAAACGAACGAGGCTTGCGTCACGTAAACATGCTGAATTCTGCAAGTTTTTGAAGTTCTGCACTCTTTATCAATGTTTGGGTTTCTCCTTTCATGTTTTGCCGAACCGGGTTTTAACGAGGCATCGTCTAATGAAAAGCAGATCCATATGGCATTTATTTTAGTTTAGTTGTTGTTTGTCAGTTTTTTTTTTTCGAATGCTCGTATTTTTTCAATTCATTTAATGAATTGATTGGCATGTTATTAATGTTAGATTGCATCTTCAGAAGATGCAAACTTAATTGGGATGTACTAAAAAGTCTCGGATTAGTTGTGCCCTCTCTCCATTGAAAAAAGAAAAGGCAAAAACAAAAAAACAAAACAAAACATAAAAAAAAAAAAACTCAAATGCTTTCCAAGTTGATTGGTGCGGACGAAGTGCCAAAACTTTTGCTAGTGGGGGCTTCTCCCCCACTCAAAATTTTTTTCCTTTTTGATTTCGTATATATGTTATATATTATCTTATATTAGTATTAATAAGCCCACACACTGAAATTAATGTTATGAGACGTTTGATAAGGGGATTAATACTATGATTTGAATCATAGTTCATGGTTCGTTACAGTGTTTTCTCTCACAAAAAAATACACGTAAATCGAAAATGATTCTAATTTATGAACCAAACGTCTCCTTAATATCTCATTTGTAGTGCATTAATACATATTCAATTTATTTATAAAAATCAACTTTTTATTTAGTTAGTATGTTGTAATATTGCAATGCAGATGATCAAGAGCCAATGCTACCTAAAGATGAAAGTTCAAATTTCAAGCTCAAGCACTGGAAATGGTTGGTTTTGGTGGCACTACAAGTGATATTGCTTCTAGTGGGTCAGGCTTCTGGTATTATACTCGCGAGATTCTACTATGCGCAGGGTGGTAAGAGCAAATGGTTGATTGCTCTTTCCCAAACTGCAGGCTTCCCACTTCTCTTTATTCCACTCTTTCTTCTCCCTTCTTCCAAAAATCCTTCATCCTCACCGTCCGCGAAAGTTCTCGCGCCGGTTTACTTCGTTCTCGGAATGCTCTTAGCTGGTGAAACTATTTTCTTTTCTTTTGGACTCTCATATCTCTCCGCTTCCACTTACTCCCTACTCTGTGCAACCCAACTGGTTTTCGTCGCCATTTTCTCATATTTCATAAACTCTCAGAAGATCACTATATTGATTCTTAACTCCGTGGTTGTCCTGTCACTATCTGCAGCCCTTATTGCAGTCAATGATGACTCGAAAGGACCAACCGGAGTCTCAAATTCGAAGTACATCATCGGCTTCATTTGCACACTCATAGGCTCTTCAATAGCCTCTCTTTTATTTTCTGTTACGCAGCTCTCTTTCCATAGGATTCTACCTAAGGAAACATTCTCTGTGGTTCTAGAACTGCAAATCTATATACAACTCGTCGCTGTTTGTGCTCCGCTAACGGGTCTTTTTGTGAGTGGGGAATGGAGAGTTTTGTATGAAGACATGGAGGGCTTTGGCAAAGGAAGATTTGGTTATGTTATGACTTTGTTCTGGGGAGCTCTGGCATGGCAGGGTTGGTCTTTTTGTTCTTCAGGATTGATATTTTTGGTCTCTTCTCTCTTCGCATGTGCAATTGGTAACCTCGCTTTGGCTGTAGCTCCAATTGCTTGTGTCATAGTATTTCATGACAACATGAATGGAGTGAAGATAATATCTATGCTTATGGCAATTTGGGGACTTAGCAGTTACACTTACCAAAACTATCTTGATGATTCCGAGGCAAGAAGAACAGATACTTGTATTACTGAATCACAAAATGATTCTTTCATTTGATGAATGTGGGCAGAAGCACAGAAATTCATTGCTTTGAATAATTAATTATCAGGTTCTTCTTGTTTTGGAATTCAAGCATATTATCAATTTATTCATGGTTGAAGTAGTATTTTTGTTGTAACTTCAAGTTTCATTGATTTAGGTATCATCAAGTTTCTTTTCTTTGACAAAATCGTCTAATTGATTTTTATGAGATGCAAATCAGAAGTTTGGTACATTGGAAAATGGTTGGTGAAAAATATTATTAGTCACTCAATTATTTGGCCGGCCATTTAGGGGCTAAATTACCAAACAGAACAATGTGTCAAGGACAGCTCTTTAAACAAAAAAAATAAAAAATAAAAAAATTATGGGTTCCATACTTTTATTTTTTGGATTATTTCCAATTATTGCCTCAATACCAACATGCCTCGACGTCAGCTTTTTCAGAAATTTGTCGCTCCTCAAAATCAAAGCCATGTTCGATGAATCGTATTATATAATATTGTACAATTTCTATGCAATATGGTGATTGGTTTATCTCAAATTAAAATTTTGTATCAAATTATACTACGTTTTTACCATTGTCAAAACTTTGAGAAGAATAAAAAATAACCCAAAGATAGATCAAAACTTTGAGAAAATAAAAGTCCCAGATTATCGTTTTTTATTTTCTTTTCTTTTCAAAGAGTTGCGAATCAAGATCAAAAGTGCTTTTTCCCGATTTGGAGATGCAAGTTGGTAGAGAGAGCGAATGAACTATGAAGGCAGGCCTAGAAATAGCGACAAAAACGATGGAACAGTAATTTGATTGATGTCGCAAAAGTCTGAAAACATTTTTTCTTCTCCCTGTGTTCAAAGCTGCTTGAAACTTAGTTTTCATATTACGAAGAAAAGTGAAAAATATCCGTAAAATTTTATATTTACTAAGTTCGTATTAAAAAAAAAAGTGAAAAATTTAATAATAAATTCAAGATTTATCATATTTGTATTTCTAGAAAAAAATGAAAATTTTAATGGTAAATTAATCTCGAATTTACTAAGTTTGTATTAAGGAGAAAAATGAGAAAAATCAAATTGTAAATTCCAAATATACCTGCAAGTCAGGATTTATCAAGTTCGTATTAGTAGAGAAAAAGTAAAAAATCTAATGATAAATCCATGATGTACCTGATAAATCCAAAATTTACCAAGTTCGTATTAGTAGGGGAAAAAGCACTACAAATTTTAATAGTAAATCTCAAATATACCTAATAAATTTTAAATATACGAAGTTCTTATTACTAAAAAAAAAAGAAAAAATATAATGGTAAATCTCAAATATACTTGGTAAATCTCAAATTTACTAAGTTTATATTAGCATAGAAAAATAACACTACAAAAGTTTATTTTCTACATTACTTTTGGGAGAAAACTTGGTATATATTTGGCTTTAATCCTCGTCGTTATTGGGGACCGGAATTAGTTATATCACATCCTAAATAATAATTTGAAAGTAGTGGGCCATTCAAATAATAATTTATCTGAAATCTTTTAGCTAAAGTATTTGCGAACTCTCAACCACACGCAACAAGGATGTTTGACGACAACCAACTATTGGGCATTGTTTTCATGGATTGTAAAAGCCATGAAGCCTCATAACTCTGGGTTTCTGATCATTTGTAGACTGAATCTAGTAGAGTTGTAAGAAAAGAGAAAAGAAAATTAATTTACTTTTGAATTTTTCCTTTTTACTCAACATTATCCAGTACCGTACCTAAACCGCTGCTTCTTCAATTTCATTTCATTCAGCAACATGCCAGGTTCTTCTGTACTCTCTCCACCTTTTCTTCTTCTGTCTTTTTTTTCTTTTTCCCCTGTTTTTAAGATGAAATTCGATATGGGTTTTTTTTTCTTTTTTTTACAATATTGCTGTAAAATGCTTATCTTGACTTTGTTAATTGAATACAATAGTTGGATTTCAAGCTTTAAATAATAAAATTCAAGTCCAGATAATTATTAGTCACCAGATAACTCAAATTATAAACTCGAATCGTTGAAATGAATATGACTTAAATATCATATTTCAACTTGAATTAAAAATTCGAATCCACCAAACGAACGAGGCCTGCGTCACGTAGACATGCTGAATTCTGCAAGTTTTTGAAGTTCCGCACTCTTTATCCATGTTTGGGTTTCTCCTTTTATGTTTTGTCGAACCGGGTTTTAACGAGGCATCGTCTAATGAAAAGTAGATCCATAAGACTTTTATTTTAGTTTAGTTGTTGTTTGTCAGGTTTTTCTTTTCTTTTTTTTTTTTTTTTCAAATGCTCGTATTTTTTCAATTCATTTAATGAATTGATTGGCGTGTTATTAACGTTAGATTGCATCTTCAGAAGATGCAAACTTAATTGGGATGAGTACTAAAAAGTCTCGGATTAGTCGTGCCCTCTCTCCATTGAAAAAAGAAAAGGAAAAAACAAAAAAAAAAAGAAACTCAAATGCTTTCCAAGTTGATTGGTGCGGACGAAGTGCCAAAGTTTAGCTAGTGGGGGCTTCTCCCCCACTCAAAATTTTTTTCCATTTAGATTTCATATATATGTATTTATTATCTTATATTAGTATTAATAAGCCCACACACTGAAATTAATGTTAGGAGACGTTTGGTAGGGATTCATACCATGATTTGAATCATGGTTCATAGTTCACTATAGTATTTTCTCTCACAAAAAAGTACACGTAAATCGAAAATAATTCTAATTTATGAACCAAACGTCTCCTTAATATCTCATTTGTAGTGCATTAATACATATTCAATTTATTTATAAAAATCAACTTTTTATTTAGTTAGTATGTTATAATATTGCAATGCAGATGATCAAGAACCAATGCTACCTAAAGATGAAAGTTCAAATTTCAAGCTCAAGCACTGGAAATGGTTGGTTTTGGTGGCACTACAAGTGATATTGCTTCTAGTGGGTCAGGCTTCTGGTATTATACTCGCGAGATTTTACTATGCGCAGGGTGGTAAGAGCAAATGGTTGATTGCTCTTTCCCAAACTGCAGGCTTCCCACTTCTCTTTATTCCCCTCTTTCTTCTCCCTTCTTCCAAAAATCCTTCATCCTCACCGTCTGCGAAAGTTCTCGCGCCGGTTTACTTCGTTCTCGGAATGCTCTTAGCTGGTGACACTATTTTCTTTTCTTTTGGACTCTCATATCTCTCCGCTTCCACTTACTCCTTACTCTGTGCAACCCAACTAGTTTTCGTTGCCGTTTTCTCATATTTCATAAACTCTCAGAAGATCACTATATTGATTCTTAACTCCGTGGTTGTCCTGTCACTATCTGCAGCCCTTATTGCAGTCAATGATGACTCGAAAGGACCAACCGGAGTCTCAAATTCGAAGTACATCATCGGCTTCATTTGCACACTCATAGGCTCTTCAATAGCCTCTCTTTTATTTTCTGTTACGCAGCTCTCTTTCCAGAAGATTCTACCTAGGGAAACATTCTCTGTGGTACTGGAACTGCAAATCTATATACAACTCGTCGCCGTTTGTGCTCCGCTAACGGGTCTTTTTGTGAGTGGGGAATGGAGAGTTTTGTATGAAGACATGGAGGGCTTTGGCAAAGGAAGATTTGGTTATGTTATGACTTTGTTCTGGGGAGCTCTGGCATGGCAGGTTTGGTCTTTTTGTTCTTCAGGATTGATATTTTTGGTCTCTTCTCTCTTCGCATGTGCAATTGGTAACCTCGCTTTGGCTGTAGCTCCAATTGCTTGTGTCATAGTATTTCATGACAACATGAATGGAGTGAAGATAATATCTATGCTTATGGCAATTTGGGGACTTAGCACTTACACTTACCAAAACTATCTTGATGATTCCGAGGCAAGAAGAACAGATACTTGTATTACTGAATCACAAAATGATTCGTTCATTTGATGAACGTGGGCAGAAGCACAGAAATTCATTGCCTTGTATAATTAATTACCAGGTTCCTCTTGTTTTGGAATTCAAGCATCTTATCAATTTATTCATGGTTGCAGTAGTACTTTTGTTGTAACTTCAAGTTTCATTGATTTAAGTATCATCAAGTTTCTTTTCTTTGACAAAATCGTCTAAATCTCGCATTGATTCATGGTTGCAGTAGTACCAAGTTTGTATTAGTAAAAAAACCAAAAGTGAAAAAACTAATGTTAAATCTCAGCATACACATGGTAAATCCAAGAGTTACGAAGAAGATATTTTTAAAATTTCAACTCGTTATAAATGCAGATTTACGTCACATTAACTAATTTATTAACTTTTTTAAACATTGACTTATTAATTTTAATTTCTCTCGAATGTTGCCATGTTGGCATATTTCGCTCAATCTCTTATATATATATATATATATATGGAAATAGTATAAAATATGTCAATATAAAAAGCTTAAGGAAGTATATAGGTCAACTTTTAGTTATAGAAATTAATAGGCCATAACTTGTCAAGTTATGGTTCATAACCAGATAAGTTATAAACAGACTTGTCAAGTTATGGGTCATAGCCAAACAAGTTATGAATAAAAATCGTGATTTATAGACAATAACTTGTTAAGTTATGGACAAAAACAGTAATTTGACCTATTTATTAACTTATGTAAACTATTGACCTATTAATTTTAATTCATCTCAAGTCTCGGCCAATTTCTCTCTTTTTTCCATATATATATATATATATATATATTGTAGTGGATCTCAACCATGCGTTGGTAGAGGCCTATAAATCTAGGCCCAAGACATTTCGTTCTGTGTCGGGCCTGGTCCTGGATAACAATAGATCTTCATGTCATACTCAGCATGTCTTATTCTAGTGTTGCGTCGTGTTATGCCTTTGCAGTTTGTGCTTATATCTTGCCTAGCATTTCCATAAGGCCTTCGAGTCCTTTTTCATAGTTGATTTTGTTATGACTTGTTGCAAATTTTTAAAAGAAAAAATAATCCTTTAAAGCGAAAGGAAATGATAGTTGTATATGATATATGTATATTTATTTTATGCACGTTAAAATATCTAGCATGTGTTAACGTTGAGTAAATGATGACTATTTTCTTTATTTAAGAATATATATAAATATATATTTGTTGAGTTAGCCACCGTGTATAAAAAGTCATGGTGTGTTAGTCCGTGTTCAAAATATGAGCTCGGCACGGCCTACTATCTCATGTCATGCTCGGCCATATTTTTAATAGTTTTGTGTCTTATTGTGTCCTGTTAGAAAAATAATGTGTCGTGTGATCGTGTTAAATGAGCAATCCGTCCCAATTGATATATGTAAGAGACATATTTTCTACATCACTTTTGGGAGATAACTTGATATATATTTGACTTTAATCTATTCGGGACCGGAATTAATAAAATCGTTTTCAATACGTAAACCAGTCCAATAGAAAACCAAGATGATTAAATTATAACATTTTATAGATGTCTTTCTACCTGTTATTAATAGTAGTATATGGTTGTGAACCGCCTTAGTTTTTATAGGGAGATTTGATATTTTTCCTTTAAATTAATCTTCATTAAAATAAATAATTAGCTCCATCAATTCAACGGTCAACTCACTATCCTTAACGTGATTACGATGTAATTGCTTTTTAAGTTCAGGTCTTCTATGTTTCAACACAATGCTTAATTGAGATCTATACGGAATTAATTAACGACTGATTAAGCTTCAGCATCATGTTTAACATAATAACTCGCTCAGATAATTAAGAAAATAATGGGGTTCTCATGTGTATACCTTTAAAATAACTATTATTTGTTTTTAAATAAAAGTAGACCGAGCTGGGGTGATGAAATTTGAGCACTAATGCTGCGGTTGTGTGTTTGATATGTATAATTAAAATCTTGTTTGGCTTTCTTATTCCACTTTTGGCCCTTAATTTAATCTCTTAATGATGTAACAGTTTTTTTTTTTTTTTTTTTTTTTTAGAGGAATATTGATATTTGATATAGAAATCCACTTTTTGTTTGATATGGCTGGCTTTATAAAATAATATTGGTGCTCTTCACATCATATTTGCATATCCTGTGTGTTCAATTTGATGAAAAGTTTTTTTTTTTTTTTTTTTTTTTTTAGAGGAATATTGATATTTGATATAGAAATCCACTTTTTGTTTGATATGGCTGGCTTTATAAAATAATATTGGTGCTCTTCACATCATATTTGCATATCCTGTGTGTTCAATTTGATGAACAATTTTGTTTAGTCCACAATTGGATTCAAGTAAGCGTTATAATATTAACTTAAAAGGGAATCAAATTTTGATTAGTTCAAGATTGTTTTTTTTTTTTTTTTTCCTTCTTCTTGTCTTATAAGGCCGTTATCTGGTTGAATAGTTTTAAATCGTCCAATAGATTTTTTTTTTCTTTTTTAAAAGGTTTGATTATTCGTCTGTCAAAAACATCATACTATAGCAACAACATAAATTAATGGGGTGAGTGATAGACGCCGTAATCCTTGACAAAAAAGGGGAAATTCTATGTTAAAACATTTAAATTAGTTCCAATCCTTTAAGGAAGAAAAATATTAAACATAACCAAAAAAAAAAAAAAATCAAATAAATTTTCATGGAAGCAAAGCCTTATACTTGGTCTTTTTGCTATGTACATTATAGATTGCCCACATATGACCAATTACTATAGTGCAAAGGGCACTCACTGCAAAAGAATAAAATTCGGTTCGCGACACGATTTTTTTTATTTTTTATTTTTTTTTTTGTGTAATTTGTTCGAATAAATATATAAGATAGACATAAACAAAGCATTCAAATGCTACATTTATATTAAATATGTGTAACACACAAATAAAATGACGTAATACACTCTGTTTATTAAATAATTTGCTAACTAGACCTTAATATCCATTTACCACTTTATATTAATCGAGCACAGCATTCAGGTCACCAGAAATAACCTAAGATCTTTGACTCCGAACATGTTTTATGATAAAAAATACTTTCCATGAAATATCTTATTTAATCATAATAAAGATGGACATCCAATAAGAAATATCTTTCCAGAATATTTACACCGATTAACATTCTTCCATTGGACAATTTTTTTAGCTCTTTTCATCGAGTTGTTTAAATAATTTTGATACGCGATTATATGCAAATATCAAGTTAATTATACTTGGTGTGGGATGCCGATTCTAGATGTAACAATCTAGTTAGAATTTGTTTAGATCCGGTCATGCTAGTTAGTTGTCGTCTCTCCGTATTTATTTTGAAAATAATAATAATAATAATAATAATAATAATAAGAGGATTGTGGAGCAGTTTTTAGGCCAGTTTAGTTGCGCTGTAGATTTTAAAAAAATTATTATTAGCTATACTGAAAAAAAACAGTTGTTACAAAAAACATGTGAGTGTTTAGTAAACTATAATTATAATAATATTGATTCTAGGGGTATTATGAAAGTTTATTAACTGTACTTTAAGGTGATTGTCGCACAATCTAAAAATTAAAATTATTTTTTGACTGTTTCTAATTTTAAATGTAAATTCTTTAAAAAAATTTTAAGAATAACTTTTTATAATTTTTATCAAATATAAATTTTAACTGTGAATAGCTAGAGAATTAATTTTTGAGCTTTAAAAAATCACTACCAAACATATCATTTGTCTTATTGGAAATTTGGAACAAAATATGGATAGATCCGCAAATATTGCTTTAATAATCACTGCTCCATTATTTGGTTTGCCATTAGGGGGCAGATTGGTCATTCAAAAACAATACTGACAACTCACCTGCATAAACTCAAGTGAGCTATTTCTTTTCTTTTCTTTTTTTATAATTAAGGCTATTTCTTTTCTTTTACTTACATCATGCCATGTACTCTTTTTACTTTAGAACTCTAGAAACATCTTTAAAATATATGTTTTTTTTTTCTCATCGGCTTATCTCTTTTTAATAAGTAAAATAGTTAAGTGATTAGTAAATTATAATATAATTTTTAAAAACATAAAGTTTATAGCATAATTTCATATCTTAAGCTTCTAACAATATAAAAAAACCTCAAAAATACCCCTTTTATTCACATCTCTCTCATTCCTACCTCTCTCTCCTTTTCTCTCTAGCCAAGTCCACCATGGTCGGCACTAGCGACCATCATCGGCGACTATTTTCTGGCGGACGTCTTGGTGATCGTTTTCCGGTGCCCGTCTCCAGTGACCGTTTTTCGACAGTTGTCGTCGACGACTGATAAATACCGTATTTACCATATTTGTCTAAAAATCTGACGGCCGGCTCCAGCTACAGGTAAATACCATATATACCGGTAAATATTATATTTACTAGGAAATATGATATTTACCATATTAATCTGAAAAATCTGACGACCAGTTAAAATCCAGTCACCGACTTCGGCAACTTTTTAACACTGTATTTACTGATAAATACCGTATTTATCAGTAAATATCATATTTATCCTATAATTCAACTATAGACTATGACGACTGTTTAATATTGTATTTACCGATAAATACCGTATTTACCAGTAAATATTTAATTATTTTAAATTTTGTAAAAATCTAAAGAAATTCGTAGAATTACAAAAACTTCTACAAATTAACTAATATTACAAATTGATCCAAAAAATCTCTAAATATGTACCAAATCAAAGTCCCCAAATCAAAATCATGAACCCTAATCCCCAAATCAATTCCAAATTCATAGGCATTTACCTGTAAATATTTTAATTATCTAACAATGTTGTATTTTCTTAATAATCCGGCCACTAGAGCAGATGCCGGTAAATACCGTATATTTGTATATGGTATTTACTCAGAAATTCAAAACGCTCCCTACTAAAAATCATGAACAACACACACAAAAAATACCACCAAAATCTCATATCTCATATCAACAAAAATACACATATTTGCCTGCAAGGTTGCAATGGCCGCGGTTCTGGTGACCTTGGTTTTGCTTCTCATGCAGATCTCAGAGCGATTCGGTCATCTTCGTTGCAGTTCTTAGAGCCACTCCATCTCACCGTCCCGTCGTCGTCGCCAAAGATATAGTCATTATAAAATGAAAAACAAAATTGTATTTAAAGCAAAATATGA